GCCGAACACCTTTAGAAATGTCCATGTATCACACGTGTACATTTTTACCCGAATCATCCTCTACCATATTCTGAAAGACCTGAAACTGGCCAAAGGAAAACCATCTCTCCTAACCTTTTCGCAGTGACGTCAGAGCTATTCTTTTGTTCTGAAGTAGGGCAGGGACATTAGCATCCACCGAGAACGCCTCACCTATAAGTACTTCGTAGACAACGTCATCAGCTTCGCCAAACATCCGACGAAACTCCTATCAAAGATTGTGCAGTTGGAGGAGTTATGAACTATCGGTGTGGAAATGAACATCTCCAAACGGAATGGATGCGTAACCAGCACTGAACCGAAGGTACCCTTCTTCAGTGAAAACGAAGAAGTGGAAAAAAAACCAGTCAGTGGCTACTTGTATCTCGGCCAATAACAGCATTAATGCGAGATTAGCAGAGGAAGGAAGGCAGCATGGACAAGTTTCAATCAAATCAAAACATCGCTGCTGACTGTCCATATCAACGAAAAAAACTTCTGGCCCACGCCATCCTTCCCGCGGAGTGCTGGTCTACCACCAAGACTGAGGAAAACAAACAAGCATTAACTGAAAGGGCGATGGAACGAGAAATATGCAAGGTCTCCCTTCGAGACTATGTTCTAAGTATTGTACGATTTTTGGATGTACCTACTTCTGGCTACGACTTGAAGAAACAATGGCCTAACCATGTGGCTCGTCTAAAGGATAAAAGACGGTCATCAAGAGTTGCCAGCTGGATTCCACTCGGTAACAGACGTTCACCTGGTCGTACACCAAAATGCTGAGACGACCCCCAGTGAAAAGCTGTTTGGTAAACGATGAGACGGAAGAGCGACTGGACTTTGACTTGCGCTTGTGGCGCGGCCGTTGACGAAAACAATCGGACAAAAGGAAGTTCATAACAACTTACCTGTATGTTTCGATGCATCATATCCATATAAATATCCACATATATCAGCGTTGCTTTTTCACTGTGAACATATCAGATTAACCACGGCTGTATCATGAAAATACGTAGAACTTGGATACACCGGATACACTGAAATATTGTCGTAGAAGCCCAAGGACGAATCAACTGGCGTTGCACCAACAAACAAACACGGAAGACAGACGAGCGGAGATTCGAGAACCGGTTTCATTTATTAAGTATGAAAAATGAGAAACATTTTGTTTACTGAACTGTGTGAAACTGGCGTGTAACTTCTAGTCGAGAAAAACAGCTTCTAGCGTAAGCAATAAATATACTGATAAAATTCTTTCTGTCCTCAAGGTGCATGACAAACATGAAGCTGCAGCAGCAGCGACGATGAAAATCTGTCGATCGGTCATGCGATGCGACACAACGCATAATGACTGTCCGTTTGCAAACACTGTCGACTGCAAAAAATAGAAACTCCAGTTCCTGAGATTTCACTGCAACATACATTATCCCGCATACGAATATCACGAAATCCTTTGGAGACGAATTGTGCCACGTCTCTCAAAAGGAATGCACAGCATCAATAGCCAGCAAGAGGCGGTCGCCGCTAGCCGGTCAGCTGGCTTTTCCAAAAGCAAAGCCGCTCTTTACACTGATGACCGTCAGACAAACTTAAACGTCACAATGCAGGTTTTAGAAGAGAATCTTGTCGACCGCCGAGGACGTCAGATCACGCTTCTGATTATTGTTGTGGTGATTACCTTTCTCATCGTCGTTCTTCTCTCGGCCGTTATCTTCACTGCTAACCTCTGTTTCAGCTTTTGTCTCGACTTCGGTAGCCGTTTGGTCACCTCCTCCGCTACTGTCATTAGAGGTTAGTGAAAACTTAAAATCGTGACGTCACTAGTGCCAAATTTTCTTGATCCCATTGCGCAGCAACTCTATAAACTCGGGGGAAGATAGTGAGCATACTATGGAAACGGCAGAAGAGTGAAGCGATTCACTGCTTGATGATATTAAAGCTTTTCATGGTCATTACTGGATTTCAGTTTCCAATGTCTGCTGTTCTACCAGCTTTTACAATGCATTGCTGTAATACAGGGATTGCAGCCAAGAAAAGAGAATTCCTCTTTGTTTGTGCAACTCTTGCCTGCCTTCATCTAGTTCATCTGTGCTGCATGATTGGAGCTATTATTCATACCATTTCGTTTGCTTTACTTAACACCATATGCTAAGGAGAAAGGATGATCCATAACCAAATTTGTACATACGGTCAAATACGTTTTCCTAACTCCACTTACCTTGAATTACAGAACTCATGGAGAGAATGGACTCATCCTTTACGTTGTCCGTTGCAGGCGAACTTCAGCGGTTCAAAATTTGTGACTTCGCAAATTCGATGAGGCAGCAATATTTCGCTGTGACAATAGGGCTCACCTGAACTCTTGTCTACGTCATAGTCGAAAACTAGTGCGCATGATGGCAAACTATTCAATTACTACCAAGATGATGATGAAATTGACAAATTTTCATGCTTGCATTAAATGGAGCAATGACAGTTGGATGATTGACTGGTGACATTTCTCGTTGTCTGGTCTCGAGAGCCAGAAGACCATGGTCTGCGATGCGAATTCAACCCACAAACGAGAACCCCAGAAACGGTTCGAACAGTTAATTCGATGTCGAACGTCGTCGTCGTCGTCGCTTTGAGCGCCCCAGTTTCTTTTCCTATTTGTAGCTGGGTTGGGATTAAAGTGTCATAAGTCCCGTTACTAATGAACCACGCTTTATTTACGACGTTGGATGATGTTGACAACGACGATTCGCTGTCTGTCGGTTCATTGGCGACACTCCAGGGACTGGGCCTGGTTTCTTCAGTGCGAATGGTGACACGACCCATTTATAAATTTTCAATTAAACGAACGTCTGAACCGCCCTTCTCCGTCCCAAGCCTTTCATATTCGGCGCTATGCATCGTCTGCTTCCAAAACTAGGATATTATCAGGCACAGGAGAAAATAAGCAAACGCATGTCTGAGGATAATCTGGTATTCGCCTTAATGAATTTCCTGTAACAACCACATCAAAAACAACAGCCAAATATATTTCAGTGGCTTATAATACTTGCAACCCCAGCTAATCGAAACTTTGTGATTTTATTATGCGCGTATGCAGTGTGCAACGAATGGGATCAAAAGGAGAGCAATAATAATCTAATAGGGTGAAGCTTCTCTTCGACTACCGTTACAACTTACCCAAATCATTGTGTGAAAATGATTTTCATCCTGCAGTGAGTGAGCGCGCGTTATGACATGCTACACTTTGATCAGCCAAACAAACGATATAGGAAATATATGGCAAAAAAAGCATTATTGGTTTAAAAAAAAGATGGAAAAAATACGGTTTGATAGAAATGTATGTTGTACTTCCTCTTTCAAACATATTTTCATCTGTTGTACATTTTAATAAATCAGCATTGATGTAACTTTATTTCTACGACCTGCGTTATTTGTCCTGAATCAATTTCGAAAAGTTATATCAGCATAGGTTTATTAATTCATACTGTAAAACCACGAAGGTATCAGTTTGAACGAAAAGGCATTGACAAGACATTTCCATCAAATCTTGGTAATGGAAATCTTCTTCACCGTTATGTTTTCTCGTATGTTGCTTCTACGTAGTCTGTTTTGCTGATGACGGGGTAACGTGCGTGCAAACGCACTGATCTGCAGCAAATATCTTTCCCTTACACGAGTTTGCGAGCCCTGAATCTGACAGGAACCATGATAATGTATTGATGTGGCACTTCTGTGGTGCTTTCTACCTCACTGGCAAAGCTGACGTAGTTGACAAGGTGCCAGACTTGCAAGCAACCTTCGAGTTCCTGTCCAGAATCGCTAGTCTTTCGAATAGGTGTAGTAGATAAACGATTTTCAAATTTCTTGGCAAGCAAGCAGTAGACTACACGGCGACTAAAGATGTTGTTTTTAGAAAGCAAGACTTATGGCGCATCCCTAGCTGATGATGTCAGTATGTACAACAAAGAAGCTTACCACAAACAGTGTTTGT